AAAGGAGATCACATCTTTCAAGGCATCATCTATGGCAAGCCCAGGCACCCTTTGATGAGGGAGGCCATACAGCACGCCTTCAGCCGTCAGGTTATGACAGCGAAGGCGAACCTGGAATACATGATCTTCTGCAAATTTCTCTGGCAGATCTTGAGTCGAGACCTTGGTCATTCCCCTCAAGCGGGCTGGAATGTTTCCGCCAAGTTTGGCCCCATCTACCTGTTCTCGGAGCGCTGGGACAAGCGCGTGAAGAACAAAAAGTATGACAACGATGGCCACTACTTTGTGACAGCCAACAACACGACAGTCGCCTACACCAGGTGCTGGAAGTGGATGAACAGTTTTCAGGGAGACCCCACCACCAAGGAACGAACCGATCGCATGCTGCAGAGCCAGCTTCCCGACATCTCCCTGGAAATCCAGTCCGATCGACCCGAAGAGCACAGCTCACCTCAGCCACTTAGGTCACAGACCACGGCAACCGCCACATCAGCTCCTCCTCCTCCTACTCAGGAGGACATCGAAACCTATGTGGCAGACAGCATCCAGCACAACTCCTTTGCGGCGCTCATGGCCACAGTCCGCGAGACCCATCATTATAACCAAGATCTTACAGAGCAGGATGTGCTGGAGCTCATCCCTCGCGGCTTGGGACAGATGGAGGTTTCAGGCTCCATGTGGCTGTGCTGCCTCCACTGCCGGAAGCATAACCGACAGATCCAGTTCAGCACTAGCCACGGCCTCAAAAACCACTTTGTCACGCAGAAGCATGACCCTGTGTCACAACCTGCGGCACCAAGCGACATGTCGGCAACCCTCGCACCACTTCCTTCCCCTCCCCCAAAACATCCACAGGAGATTCCTCTCCCACCCAGCAGCACCAGGACTAAAGGATCAGACAAAGCAGCCGGCTTTGAGCCGCCGCCTTCCCCCCCCTGTCCTTTCACTTCCACGGCGGCCGAAAAGGCGGCTTTCAAGGCAAGCCAGGTGGAAGCACCGAAGGCGGCCCCAGCGCTTCCGGCTAAGGCCCCACCGTCCACGGTGCCCACCCAGCCTCCGGAGAATTCCTCTTCGGCAGCCACCGGCTATCCCCGATCCCTCCGCACCCTCCCAAGTCTGCCTCTCCCCCTACCCCTGCCACCAGGACTGGATTCGGGCCTTGGCTTCCATCAATATCCTGGTGGCTCCCGTCATTCTCGGAGGCCTCACCAACCACGAGCAGCAGACCCTCTGGTCTACCAGGATGGACGCACTCCGCGAGGTACCTCCGCTGTTTTCTGCCATCAAGTCAGTAAAGACACAAACAGGCCTCACATGGGACATCGCCATGTCGGTGAGGCGGGTCCTCACCAGCGATGGGAAGGTCACTATAGCCACAGGCTCGGGAGGAGCCTATCGCGAGCTGGATGCCCCCACAAAGGTGCATGGCCTTATCCATGCCTGCTTCAACAAGATGTGGGACGAGAAGGACTTTCAGCAGCACTTCCCTTCGTGGGTAGAGTTCAACATGATCGCCACTACCATCGTGGCAGTCTACAATGAGACGGCCAAATCAGCCGGACTCCCAGCTCGTGTCTTCAGGGTCAAACCCAACAAAGATGCCTACTCCATCATGAAGATGCGGATTCAGCATGACAAGGGGCACGAGGAAGACAAGCGCATGGCCAAACTGGCAGCTGCTGCTGCGCCTAACAAGCGCCCACAGATGCAAGAGGCTGACACAGAGGGCAAGCGTCAGCGCGATGCCCCCTCCTCTTCATCCTCGACCCAGTGGGCCAGGCAGGCACGCTCCTCCCAAGAGGACGACTGGGACTGGTGGCAGCAGTGGTCCTGGCACAGTTACTCCCAGCAGTGGCCAAAAGGTCACGACCAGTGAGGGTAGAGATATGTCACAGACTTTTTGATCCCCTATGTCACAGACTCTGGGAATTCGGACCTCTTCCGACGCTTAGCAAATCTCTTCGGAAGCCTGTGAACCGCGAGCTAGTCGCTTACAAACAGCACATCACTGCATCAGAGAGTTGCCCACGTCCAAGTTGCCAACAGCCATTCCATCGGCGATGCATGCAGGTACACGCGGTCATGAGCACATGACCCTTACGGCCTTCTGTCTTCAACATGAGTAATCCGTGTGGGGCGCCACGAGACGGATACTCCAGGTGTCGGCTTCGTCTGAAGTACGGCCTAATTGTTGTGACAGGTGCACAGATGGACGCGTCTGTTCACACCAAGGTGTCGGAGGAGGAAGCTTTTGTAGCTGTAGTTTTCAGTAGCTTGAGCTGATTAGAGAGGTATGAGCGATGCATGCTAGAAGCAGTTTCACGAGTGCACGAGACCAAAGGCGCCCGCAAAGCGCAGAGCACGCTCGCGCAGCGTTCAATTAGTAGTAAGTAGTAGTAGTAGTAGTAGTAGTAGTAGTAGTAGTAGTAGTAGTAGTAGTAGTAGTAGTAGTAGTAGTAGTAGTAGTAGTAGTAGTAGTAGTAGTAGTAGTAGTGGTAGTAGTAGTAGTAGTAGTAGTAGTAGTGGTAGTAGTAGTAGTAGTAGTAGTGGTAGTAGTAGTAGTAGTGGTGGTAGTAGTAGTAATAATAATAGTGGTGGTAGTAGCAGTAGTAGTAGTGGTGGTGGTGGTAGTAGTAGTGGTGGTGTCAGTAGTGGTGGTAGTAGTAGTAGCAGCGGTAGCAGTAGCAGTGCAGTGGCAGTAGAAGTAGGAGCAGGAGCAGGAGTGTAGTAGTAGGAGTAGGAATAGGAGTAGGAGTAGGAGTAGGAGCAGGAGTAGTAGAAGTAGTAGTAGTAGTAGTAGTAGGAGGAGGAGGAGGAGGAGGAGGAGTAGTCGAAGTAGTAGTTGTAGTCGTAGTCTTAGTATTGCTGTCAGGATTACCATCATATCAATAACAGTTATTTGGTCCCGACCCCAAACCCTTGCCCTCGTCGCCCACGGCCATGAGCTGTCCTTTGCACCTTTCCGGCGAAAAATTCAGCGATTTCCGGTCCTCAGCCCCAACCAAACCTTTCAGGCCTTCAAGTCCCCAAGCCCCACACCTTGGGAAGTCCTTAGTGCTTCAAGCCTGAAGGCTCTAAGCGCCTTAGGCTGGCGAGCTCCAAAACCCTAAAGCACCCCACAGTCCCAAAGCCCTAAGAACGCACACATGCGCACACATGCAAGCCAAACTGAACAGTTCAGATCCTGGTCTCCCCATGCCCGCAACAGTAAGCCGTAGATTCGAATCGAGTAAGTCTCAAGAAGCTTTCAGAAATCCAATGCCAGAACTTCACAAATCCTGAGACCTACATTCTGTGAGCTCGACTTTGTGCAAGGTGCCCTATGCCATCATATTTGCACATCCTGCAACAAAAGTTCTAGAAATCTAAGAGACAACATCCCCTCAAAACGCTACAGCCTGAATCCACCCAAAATGGATGCATGATTTGCGGTGTGGGTTTGCGGTGTTGGAACCATGGGTTTGGGTTTCGGGTTTTTTTTGACTTCGAGCTAGGGGTTTGGGGTTTAGGGTTCAAGGTCTCGGGTTTAGATCTGTGTCTAGACAGGTTCGACTAACATCTTGCATGAAACCTGCTGCCCTTCAACCCAATTCGTGAGCACGAAAGTCTCCCTGCATAAGCCGATAAAGGTTTAGGGTTTAGGCTTCAGGGTTGGGGGTACATACATCCTAGAAGGAGGCCAGGAACATCTTCCCCAAATCTTTGCTAGAAGGCCTTAGATCAGCCCGCCGAAGCCCATGAACAAATTTTGCTTGTCACATGGAAAACGGCGCATAAATCAACCGTTCTAAGGAAGTCGGAATTTGATTTACTATGATCCCGCAGCTAAGAGTCCCGAGCAAATTGTACCAGAGTATACCCGTAAGCCCTGTCCTAACTGTTCAGGCCCCGACACCCCTGAACAGTTCTCAAGGCCCCTCCCCAAAACCATAAACCCTAAACCCAAAACCGAAAGTCTCAAGCATTTGCCCACGCCAGCCGAAGCCGGCCATTGGCAGGATCGAGGTTCACCTTCTGCTTCCGTTGGTTTGAGGATTTAGGGTGTAGAGTGTTTAGGGTTTCGGAATTTCGGGTGTTGGTTCGCCGAGCTTTGTCCGGTTCGCCTAGTTTTCGAAGGCCGGGGAAGTACAGCAACAAAGTCGGCCTCGTGAGGCTTTAGCTTAGATAGTCCTGGGTTTGGAGTACCATACTTGAAAACTTCTTTGGTACCTGTTCCTTAAAGGATCCTTTATGAAGTAAAAGTATATACTTTTTTTTCCCTGGTTACTTCAAAGTCCAGTAGTTGTTGGGAGAAGTTGTAGAGGGTTTCGGGCGGTTCTCAGACTAAAGGTCCGGTTGGAAGAACTTGGGGTCCAACCAGAAACCTAGAGGAAGGGCGTTGATGTTAATTCGGGGGTTGGGCATTTTGGTTTGGATTTTTTCGTCCCAGGTGTGTTCGCTCTTCTAGGGATTCTTGCATTTGCCTGCGAGCCCAGGTCGTGAAAGCAATAAGCAGGGCAGAGCAGTTTGGTGGGTTTCAGTTCGGCAAGCTCTACCCCTATCACCACTGTTACCACTAGCCACCACCGCCGCCAGCACGACCATCACCACCACCGCCAAAACCGCCACCACCGCCAAAACCACCACCGCCAAAACCACCACCACCACCACCACCGCCACCACCACCACCACCACCACCACCACCACCACCACCACCACCACCACCACCACCACCACCACCACCACCACCACCACCACCACCACCACCACCACCACCACCACCACCACCACCACCACCACCACCACCACAGCTGTCCCCCACACAGCTGTCCCCTATAACTGTCCCCTCAACCTTAGACTCTAAGCCCCAACCCCCCAAACCTTAAAACCACTATATAAACCCCCGAAGGCCCCCAGACTCTATACCCTAGGCCCGCCAAGGCGAAGCCCTTAAACCCCCCCCTAGACCCCTAAACCCTAAACACCCTCCTACCTCTCAGCAGGTCTTCGTTCGAGGGAAG